CATATTTTTTATCTTTGCTGATAGAATTCAATAATCGACAGAGAAAAGGGCCCAGAAACTGCGCTCAGATACTGTGGGGCATAGTATTTTTCACTCAATATCTCAGAAAATAGTCCATAAACCTATTGATATATTTCCTTTATTGTACATGTATGTGGGACATACTAAATAAGATATATAAAAAATAAAAAAAAATTAAACTACAAGTATTTTTTCAGCTAAAGGTCCTGCTTCCCCTTAAATGAACTTTTTAAAGTGCACGAAGATGCGTGATTAAGGGAAATGTCATATGCTGGGTTTAGAAATAGGAAATGGTTTATGCGTTTAAATGCGTGACTTTGCAGAAAGAGGTTAAGAACTTATTGTACCCGTTTTATTCCGGAATATTTGATAAAAATTGTAATGAATAAACAATTAAAACATATATTTTTTTAGTATATACATGTAGTAAGTCAATGAAATTAAAATAGGTCCCTATGTGTTCCTAAAAGAACATGCATTCAAACCTCTGCGTTTTTACAAACATTCGATTTTCTGATAAATATTTATCGTGATATTTAAATGGGAGAACGAAAAAAAAAAAACACTCGCTGTGGACTACAATTTGACCTTTAGACATATCAAATAGCACTAGTTACACATGTACCTGCATTTATATGATGACTCGATTTCAGCCCCGGGGTTGAGTATCGGGGGAGGGGGTGTTGTTCTGTTCACAAGTACCTCCCTTATTGTATAGGGAGGTATTTTTTGTGGAGCGATTTTGTTGGAATTTTGACGATTTTTTTTTTACATTGTACACATGATGAATAAGTGTAATAAATATAATTTTGGAAAAAAATGTCCAATAAGCCCCGTGGTTGAATATCGTGGGGGGGGGGGGTCCTGTCCACAAGTACCTGTGTAGGACACCCCTCCCCCATGGATTTTACATGGTTAAAAATGTATATACCGAAGCAAGAAAAGGTAACCATATCCCTGCCCCTCTTGGAAAAACACCCCCTGGTAAACGCAAATATGTGTGAAATGGGTATGAAAGTGAAATATTTGAGGCAATAGAAATCATAAACTACACACCCGTACGACTTAGGTTTTTGTCGTTTGGGCAAGTTTAGTTTTTATTTTTTGTTAATTAAATATCGAAATGTGAAACAGATGTATCAAACTCTGTGGTATTATTTATCTTAAGCCCACGAGGATATATCTTATCGAGATAAGAATGAAAATTACAATTATTAATTGACAACACGACGTCGATATATCTTAATGTCTTATATATCTAAATGTCGAGTTAAAGGCCACAGCAAGTGTTTCCTTCTTTTCCAGCATACGATTCTGCTACATATTAATCATTATCAATTCATAAATTCTATGGTCGATTCAATTACCTTGTCAGCAAATACAATTTATCATTACGTCAAATGCCGTTTTTCATACTACTTGTAAATCCATGATTTATACAGCGAATTGTCGACGGATTTATCCGTTATTTGATGATCATGACAAGGAGTACAGGGCGGGTGTGACCGGTCGACTCATTCCTCTTTGGCACCAGATCCACCTTTGATGTTTCGGAGGTCCATGTTTGCTCTGCTCCTATTTTGCATTGTTTCATGGACTTTGATATTGAACACTGTTCATTATCTCCATATCTTTCATTTGAAAAGAGAGATAACTAAAAGTGATTTTTAGTTTAGATATTTTTATTCAATGAATTGGATTGCATAGATTGTTTTTATGTACAGTATGTATGTTGCTAATTTTCATTTTCATGTTTGAAATTTTCATTTTGCCAGAAATTTAAAGAAATCATTTTAACTACTAATATTTTCAACTTGAAAAAAAAAACATTTACAGGGATATTTTATAATTTATTAAAATAAAAGTGACGAACCTATTGTTTTTTCATAGTATGTTAGAATTTAATCTTAGAACTTCTTCAAGGTGGTATGAATAGTCAATTATTTCCGTCTTGTCACACTAGCCAGAGAACGGTCCACCACAGCAAGGGTATAAATAACAAACTAGACAGCACGATATAGGATTCGGATGATTGCAGCATGGTCCTTCGTCTAGAATGGAAACAAAAAAAAAAACTAATGTAAAGGGGATCCTTTTTATTTTTAATGTATCATTTTTTCAAAGATTTGAATCAATTAGTTTGAACTTTGTCCGTCTTGGTTCAAGACCAATATATCGTCCAGGTACATGTAATTAAACTGTCGTTTGCTGTTGACAATTATTTACAACGCTCTATTTCAAAAGATTAGATAAAAGGTTTGATATTTTGCTCATATTTTTTTTTTTTGAAAACGGATACTTTCTCAAGCTTAGAAGGCAATAATTTCTTTGAATAACAATGTAATTTGACCAATTCTAAGACTTGAGATCCTTATCATTTAGGCTTCCGAAGATATATTTTGATTCATTGATTGAAATAAGTGCTAGTCCAGTTCAATTCAAAATTCAGCAGAAAAGGATGTACACACGTTTTGTAAAAAAAAAATGATTCTCTGTTTGATCTGAATCTTTATATCTTTTAATCATTTATTATAAACAGTTGTGAGAAGAAATGAAAAGTATTATCTCATAATATCAATTTCATAATATTAAAATATCAAAAATATTTAAGAAATTTTATTTTGGATACAACATTCGGTCTTAAATTTGAAAAAAGAACATTTATTTACAAAAAGGGCATTAGAAACAGAAAAAAAGCTTTTTCCGAAAACTGTAATATGTGTTCAGCTTAGTTTGTATTAATATTATATTTTATACTTTTGTTATATTACAATTGTATACACTCATTGAATCATGGTTAATATTTTCAAACAATTCCTGGTGGAAATTTATAGAAATGAAAAATGGAGCTTAAGATAACGAACTGTATTAAGCTTGGAAGTCCAAAGCACGAATACAAAAAAGAAGGCATGGCTTTCACACAAATTTTTGAAAATTCATGCTTTTTATATAATTGAAATTCAATGCAGAAAAATCATACAAGTCATTTTTTCTCACATTTGTTTTTAAATGCGAATTACATTGTCATAAACATGTATATTTTCCGTATTTTTAGGTCACCTGAGTCACTCAGATGACCTATTGCTATCCGTTTTCGTCTCTCGTGTGTTAACATTTGAACACTTTCAGCTTCTTCTCTGCAACTACTCAACCAATTTCAACCATATTTGGTGTACAGCATCTATGGATACAGGGGAACAAAAATTGTGAATTTCATGGTCCCTGCCCCTCTGGGGCCTGAGGGGTGGGGCCAAAACCACTAAAATTAATGAAATTAAAAATCTTCTTCTTTACTCCTGGACATCGAGCAGGCAAACTGTTAGTATGAATGTAATGACCATTGAGTCTTATACTAAAAAAGTGAAATTCATGGCCCCAGGGTCAGGGGTTCTAGTGCTAGGGCGGGGCTATATAGATTATATAGTGAAAATGCATTATTTCTTTGATCATCTTATCTCTGCTCCTGGGTATTATATAAACTAAGTAAGTACATAGTTATGATGACCATTGAGTCCTCTACCAAAATTGTGAAATTCATGGCCCCAGGGTCGGGGGTTCTTGTGCTAGGGCGGGGCTAGATTGATTATATTGTGAAAATGCATTATTTCTTTGAAAATCTTCTCCTGTGCTCCTGGGTATTAAATAAACTAACTAAGTACATAGCAATGACGAGCAAGAGTACCTCTTCTAAAATTGTGAAATACATGGCCCCAAGGTCAGGGATTCTGGTGTTAGGGTGGGGCTCTATTGATTATATAGTGAAAATGCATAAATTCTTTGAAAATCTTCTTCTCTGCTCCTAGATATTAAAAAAACTAAGTACATAGTAATGATGAACAAGAGTACCTCTTCTAAAATCTATTAGATCTATTGTTATAGATTAGTGAGGATGACCGATGTTTTCTAGATACATTCCAGACACGACAACCATGTGCTGTTTACATCATTTATTCACTGTACTCTTCCGGTACATAAACTAATAATAGAACCATGATAGGACATTATAATTCCGGATACTACATTCCTCCCCTCTTTAGATAGTTGGTACAAAATTAAAATTCCAAAACATCCAAAATTATGATCAGTTTTAAACAGTTAATATTTCATTTGTCACTAATCAAGATTAAGCAGTTTATATTTAAACATTGAACTTATGATAGACAAATGTCTTTTGCAATCATTACATGCTTAGGAATATAGAAATAAAACAATAAGGATTTCTTAGTCCAGTGACCTGCTGGGGATTATTGTGCCCCTTTTCACAGCATGGCCATAACTTAACATAATGTCAGTTTAACACAAAATCTTTAAGATTTACAGGAAGCTGTTTCGATCTTTGGCTTCGCCTCGAAGGTTGCACGACAGGTTTCTGAGATGTGTTCTTCACGGATGGACTTGTCTTGCACTGTTTCATAACACTATCTTCTAAATCCGCTTTAGGACTGTGCATCTCTAACTCGATTTCCTCACGATTATTCTCCTGCATCCTTGCTCTGTTCTCCAACTCTTCATTCACTGCTGAATTGATTTTCTTGAACTGTGACATGTGGCGTGTTACTTCCCTGTCCACGGTGATCATGGATCCTTTCTTGTCCGTAACGATTTTTGGCTCATATGAAAAGTATGGCTGCATCTTACCACGTTTTTCATTTTTCATCATGACGGAATCCCCTACACTAATGTCCCGTTCCTTTGCTCGATTCCGCTTGTCCGCATAACTTCTTGCTATCTTTCTCTCTAACTCGAACGTCGTTCGGAGTCGAATCTCTGTGAGTGGTTAGTGGTAACCTTGTCTTCGGATCCCGATTGAACAGTAACATGAAAGGTGTACGTCCTGTAGATGAGTGTGGCGTGGCACGATATTGTCTGAGAAAGCGATACAACTCTTGCCGCCAGTTAAGTCCCTCAATATGAGCGGAGCGCACAGCTTTCATCAACGGCTTATTAAAACTTTCAGTTTGAGCATTGGCTCTGGGCCATCATGGCGTTATCCTCCGATGGATAAACCCCATATGTTCTGCATATCTTCTAAATTCGTATGATTGGAAAGGGCTTCCATTGTCACTTTTTATTATCTTGTGTATCCCATATGCACTGATAACTTTGTCCAATACAGGTATGACGGACTTAGCAGAGACGGATTTTACAATCTCAACTACTGGGTAACGTGAATAATTGTCAATTATCTCAAATAAATAGTCTCCACTGGGTAATGGTCCGCAGAAGTCGATACTCAAATTCTCCCAAGGTCCACCAGGTAGTTCCGACATTTTCAACGGCTCCATGGTATGACGTTCAGGAGTAAGGAGTTGACAGGCTGAGCAGTTTGTGACACGGACATCCATGCCAGGAAACCATGCTTTTGCCCTAAGAAAAGCTTTTGTTCTTGCCATCCCCTGATGACCCTCATGTGCCATGTCTATAGCCCTGTCACGAATTCGAAGGGCTTTTGGTAAGATAATGCGTGTGTCACGTAGCAGAATGTTATCACTGTGAATAGTAAGTTCGTCTCGCACTGAGCTGATTGCTGTCAGTTCCTCGAGATTTGCTTCGTCCTGTTTCAGGCTCTTCATCTTGTACCAGTCACCATTTCTAGTAAACTCAATGGCCTTCTGTAAAGTAATGTCATTTAGTGTGGCTCGTTTCGCATCATCTAGTTCTATTGCCGTGGCAAAGATTCCAGGGCAATGAAGTTCACATACTCTTCTGACAAATCTCTCACATCTGTTGCTAGCTGAACAGGGTGTCTTGAAACATAGTCTGCCATATTATCCTTTCCAGGTGAATATTTTATTGTGAACTTGTACGGTTGTAAACGAAGTCCCCACCTCTCGATGCGGAGTGGTGGTCGCAGCTTTTTCCAAATGGTCTCTAGAGGCTTGTGGTCAGTGATTTATGGTAAAGTTATGCAAGCCTCTCAGGTAAAGGTCAAAGTGTTCACACTATCTATGTACACATGCAGGTTCAATCGATTGCCAACAAACTGTATGAAATACTTGTTTACAATGTAAATAAAATAATTATCATTTTGCTTGCTTATTTTTTTTGTTTTTATACATGAAAAGCAAGTAGAGCAGGTCATTTTATAATTTATGTACCGGTAGATATTATTGCGCCGTGTGATTAGGTCACGTATTGACCTCTGACCGCTGACAAACTTCATACAGAATTGAAGATATTTTCTCTCTGTATGTTTATAAAATGGAGAGATACCACAAATGTATATGAGTTGCGTCAAGCGAAAAGGGACCTTCGTGACCAAATTTTCGAAAATCGATTTTTCACCGTTTCTGAAAGAGCTAGTTTTTCTGAACATTTTGATACCACATATTTCATTATTTACCTTCTAAATTTTAATTGAAACTCCAAATGAAAACAATACAATGCTAACAGGATAATGCTATAAAACGTTGAATAACGTCATTGATAATTGGAACGTTAAACGTGATAACTAAATGATTCAACCTTTTGTATTAGTTAGGAATTTTTTTTCTATACATGTATTTTAAAGTTTTTTAAAATATATATTTCTCCAAATATTTGCATTTTGATGATCGTATACATTGTAAGAAAGTGATAATTTAAAGGTTGTTGAAAACATTATCATCTAAATGTACTTGTATATTGAAATAATAAAATAAGTATCAAGGAGTATATTCAACGACATCATCTCAACCTTTTTTCTACATCACGAGCATTAATCATTGGAAATTTGTATTTGAGTGGATCCTAAGGACAGACCGCTGACCATAAAAAGTTCCTACTCTGAAATCATCTCGCAAGGCATTCGTTACACCACGGCCATCTTCTAGGAGAAATTATTTATTGTTCACGGAATTGACTGAGTATTTACAATTGCTCGTAAGGGGGTAATAGAGAATATCCGACATCACAACATGTAGTAAGGTTTTATAGGTCAAAAGATGGTTATTAATTTTCTTTTTCGGTATAATCAGCAAACCCACCTCCACAATCAAAACCCTTAGGCAGTTCCTACATGTATTTTTTTATGGTACTTCCCTGAACTGAATTTAAAGGGTGGTTGCATGGGGTGCAACCTTCAGGCATTGTAATTTTTTGCCTATCAATTATTTCAAACTTCTTTCAAACCGACTCACCTTTATTTTATTTCAATTAAAAACTAGTGCTAATTGTAACGGGAACCGTTACAGATGTTCCCCAAACGCTCCCCAACTCCCTTTTGGTGCCATATTCCCTGTAAGCTTCATCAAATAAGAAAACCTCTGTGCATTTATGACTTTAACAACGTTTTCCCAGAAGGATACCAATTATATTCAAATTTTAGCATTGCACCTGTGCGCATGCGAATACATGTGCGATATGACCATATCATCTTGTCTACACTATCTCCATATTTTAATATACTATGTATTAAAGCATTCAGTCCAAAAGTATTAAAAATCACTCATTCAAGGTTTTTTTTAATTTCACTCGTTCGAAATGCACGCACGTGCATGCACGAGCATGATCACCATACCTTCTTGTAGGAGTCCTCTATATCTATCTATATTCTGAATCCCATACTGTTTGGTTGAAAAACAAGGGAGTTTTAGCCATTTCAAGTTTCAGCCAATCAGATTGCAGCACACGTGCATGCGCGTAATTTCATGAATTTTTTTCTATATCATATTGTAGGATATCCTAATGCATAACTATATTTTAAATTTCAAAGCATTTCGTCAAAATACAAAGGAGATGTAGCCATTTAAAGTTTCAGCGAATCAGATTGCAGCACACGCGCATGCGCATGCTTTCATGAACATTCTTTATATCATGCTGTAGATATTCATAATGTAGGACTATGTTCAAAATTTCAAAGGATTATGACAAGAAACAAGAAAGATATTGAGACTTTAGTTTCAGCCAATCAGAGCGAAGCGCACGTGCATGCGCGTGAGTTCTTGCTATTTTGACCATGCCAGCTTGTCTATACTACTAATGTATCCTTATATTATGAGTTTCAAAAAATTTCATCAAAAAATAGAAAAGTTACGGCAATATCCATTATATTGGTCATTTCACGTGTTGCACGTGCGGGCTCTTGCAAGCACGTGCGCGCAAAATGACCTTGATTCCGCAAATTTACATAACATGTCTACTGACCCAAAAAAAGTTTTACCTACATCGGACGAACAGTTTACAAGATCATTCCTGGACAAAAAAGTACCCAGGAAGAAGAAGAAGAAAAATACTAATAACTAGAAAAGAAACTCGTTGCGAGCAACGACAGGTCTTCCGTCCGATTCAGAAAAAAAGTAAAATCAAACTGAAAAAGTGACTTTAAAAATCGGAAACATGGGGGATCGAATCCGGGTTGCCAGCGTGAAAATCCATTGCGGTACCCATTACACCTTTGGGAACCCGCTTAAAATTAACATTCGAATATCGCGAGATTGTTTTCATATTCCAAAAAACATTACATTTTTTTAAAAATTCAGTTTGGAATTATAACACGAGAGCTAGCTTGCCAAACTTTGATCAAGATGATCACATCGGAATTTTATTGCTTGAGTTTTAACAGTAATTTTTAGGATAGATAATCTATTAATGATGAACAGATGATACAGTTTTCTTTCCTTTTTTCGATATGTATTCAACTTTTTATTCCATGCAACTCCATATACAGACATGCCAATGTTATATATTTCTGCACTATTGTCGCCATTTGTCTACTACTAAGTCGGGTCATGATACATTATTTCGTGCCAAACGTCACAAGTAGTTCTTAACGCTATTCCTTTGAAATGTTTGATTTATTTAATAGATGTGATAGCTTCAATGGAAATTAGAAATGTATGATCTTATAACCAGAATTTCGAGCGTTAGAAAGTACGAGAATATTTATCACATTATACAAATATAATTTCGTATACGGCCAAGTAACAATAAAGCTGTGAATTCGGTAAGATTTTCCACGAATTTTGTATCCTGTTTACCCCCAAAGTGGAGATGAGTTACACGTTCATGAAAAGACTGGAATGTTTCGCTGAAAAAAAATCACTCGTCCTCCGACGGTCAAGGAATCTGATACTATTTATGTCAATAACTTGCATTTATTTCAAGAATATTCATATAACCTTTAATAAACAATCTTTTAAAAATGTTTTTCTTATTTTTGTCTTTTCTATTCATTTAATATATCACAAGCCTGCGTAAAGAAAAATAAACAGAAGTCAAGTCATACTTCAGAAACATAGTTAATATTAAGTCAGGCAAGTTTCTTGAAAAGTATTATAACCATGGTTTAGGATAAGTTTTCCCTGGTGCAAAATAAAAGACTGAAGTCATCGCATTTCCACTTGTAGTCAAGTTATATTCTAACTTTGAGATGCAGACAAAAGCGATTTCAATAGAAGTTTGAGGAGACCTCATGTTAAAAGTATACTCAATGCAACGTAATTGCGATGTAGCAATCAAAAGAATCCTTTACATTTCATAAATCTTTTTGGTAGAAGTTTCCTTCATCTAAACGCTCAGCTGACCTTCTAGAACCCGACTTGCTTAATGGCGGAGTTTACCGAGACCGCCGCCATCTTGGACACGCTTCAGATTTTCAAATGCGAATATCTAGTGTGTGGATTGATCAATTCATAGATAAATTATATATTTGGCCTTTCCAGTAGGGTCTTTATTACCATTAATCATATCAAAGAAAAATATTGAAAAACAAAAAAAGTTGAAAAAGTGTACATTTTAAATTCACTTTCTGTAGCGACCGGAAGTACTGACGACGCAAACGAAGTCAAAATTGCACATCTATAACTCATAGTCTATCATCTCTAACAAGTCTCCAGTTAATATCTTTAGCCGTTTTCGAGAACACTCGAAGACAAAATTGCATTTTAAAATCAGGAAATTGCCCATAACTTGGCACTGGTACCGAATTTTCCAACAAACGGAATTTTATATAAAATTCATATAATGACCTATAATTCCTGAAATTTTCATTGAAATCCACCAAATAGTTTACGAGAAATCGCCTGCACAAAATTTTGTCTAAAAAAAAAGAATAATAATAATAATAATAACTAGATGAAACTCGTTGCGAGCAACGAGAGGTCTTCCGTCCGATTCCGGAAAGAAAACGTAAAATCGAGTTGAAAAAGTAAAAAAGATTTGCACACAAGGGGGATTGAACCCAAGTCGCCAGCATGAAATTCCAACGCACTGAATATTACGCTATTGGGACTTCTACTCTATATCTACTTTTATATGTTTACGAAACAGTGCTTCTTTCTTAAAATTATGAGAGGCGGGTCACTATTCAAAATTTAGCGCCAGACGCCACGAGTTAATCTTCGCGCCTTTTCTTTGGAATGTTCTATTTAAAAGGTGTTATAGCTTCAATGAAATTAAAAAAAAGAACGTTCATATAGCCTAAGATTCGAGGTTTAGAAAGTATATTTAAAACATTTTACAGATTCCATATTGTATATATGCATGTAACACTAAAGCGGTAAAACGATTGTGATTTTTTTTAAAACTTTTTTTCAATTTCCTGTTTATCCCTAAAGTGCACTATCCAAATAAGTTAATCGAAAATAGCTGAAACATTTCGCCGAAAAACATGGCTCGCCCTAAGGCTGTCAAGGAATCAGATATCATTTATGCTCAATAACTTGAATCAGGTCTTTGAGACAAGAATGCTAAAATAAACTCCACGAAGCGATCTTTAGAAAAAAATCGTTTCTTATTTTTGTCTTATTTATTAGT